TGGGCAGCCTGGGCCAGGGCTCTGTCACCCTCACTGAGAAGAAGTTTCTTCTCCAATTGAAGTGGAACCTCCTGTGTTCCAGTTTGTGCCCATTACCCCTTGTCCTATCATTGTTTGTCACCGAGAAGAGCCTGGCTCCATCCTCATGACACTCACCCTTTAAATATTTATAAACATGAATGAGGTCTCCCCTCAGTCTCCTCTTCTGCAAACTAAAGAGCCCCAGCTCCCTCAGCCGCTCCTCAGAAGGGAGATGCTCCACTCCCTTGATCATCTTTGTAGCCCTACACTGGACTCTCTCCCTGTCCTTCTTGAACTGAGGGCCCAGAACTGGACACAATATTCCAGATGCGGTCTCACCAGGGCAGAGTAGAGGGGGAGGAGAACCTCTCTGCCCTACAACCACCCCCCTCCTGATACACCCCAGGATGGCATTGGCCTTCTTGGCCACAAGGGCACAGTGCTGGCTCATGGTCATCCTGCTGTCCACCAGGACCCCCAGGTTCCTTTCCCCTACACTGCTCTCCAGTAGGTCATTACCTATTACATATACCAGGGACCTCAAACACCACTCTCCGTTCTCCTTAAACTTAAAACATCACTGGTTTCAACCACGCACTAAGACACAGGCAGTGTTGTTTGTGGTAATGGTGACAGAGCAAGTATTGTCACTGCCAACAGCCACACACGGTCACATCTATATCACTATAAAGCCAATATCTGCAGTAGGTTGGCAGACACCACGCATGTGTCATGGTTGGACTCAATGATCTTAAAGGTCTTTTTCACCCAAACGATTCACTGATTTAGTGGTATGATGTTGACAACACGCACAACAGCAATGGTCTTTTGCTTTTAAAAGACCATATAGAAGATTTGCTTTATTACTGATGTTATTTGCAAAGGTAAACTGGACATTAAAATTTACCTCCTGCAATGAACCGGGATTAAACAAATGTTTGAGTCGCCAGAGGGCTGCAAGAGCAGTCATCTGTAAGGTGCATATTTAAACTTTCAGAACTCACTTCCAGCCACTCAGGATTCCTTTCCAACCTGTGGCTGGAGATACACACACATTTAATTATTCTTTGCACATAAAGGCTAGGAAATACTTGATTTGGTCAGTTAATAAGGGATTTCATGCAGCACCTCTATGCTTGAGCCAAATTAGGTAAGATAGTGAGGCAGCCAAGGGTGAGAGAACCCAGCACGGCCCAGTCTGTTTATCCTGTTTCAGGCACAGGGTTTGCCACCCACAGTGCACAATGTATGTCAGCAGCTACGAGTCTTGAGACGGGCAGTTTAAGTTTGCTTGGCTGTTTCTACAGCATATTTCAAGTAAAATAAAGCCCCAAGACCTGGAGAAAGTAGAGCAAAGTCACCTTTGGTGTCCCTTGTGTTAACGCAAGCAACTGGAATAATGAGACTGCCTGCATCGACGTGTAACTCAGTGACCAAACGAGCAGCTACACACAGCATAACCTTGAAAGACAACTCCAAAAATGGCTTCAGCTGCCTCCTATACGTCAGTGTTTACTAAGCCAGAGCCCTTGGCCCTACAAGTCTGGGATAAGCTAAAGGCCAAGAGCTGCTTTCATTTCTATTGAGGAGAATCTTCCAGGAAAAACATAAACCCCTGCAGTTGTGACCATGCCAGTTGCTCCTCACTGTGTGGTTGTGTAGACGATTTACCTCGAAATGTAAAACCACAACTCCTCCTCTTTTTCAGCTGCATCCTGTTCGTCATATAACCTTTCTGATCTGCCTTGATCTTTCCGATTTCCAGTATTTTGCTTCATGCTTCTAGCTGCTCCCATTGCCATGCACATCTGAAAACCTACATTAATTCTGTATCCCATGGTCCCAGTTAACACTGACTGCTTCAGGAGTTCAACTTCCTACCTGGTTTTGCACATCCTCATCATAATATTATCTAAATTAATCTTCCACAGCTTGCTTATGGGAATGTCAGAGAAGGCAGCACAATTAAGATGATAAATCAGCAGTCACAAATTGCTCAGCTAAAGGAATCGTATGCACGAGTGGAACTGTAACTGATATCCAGGGAGAAGGAAACTTTGCATTCACTTTGAAAGCCTACACAGGATCATTCTTCATAGCAGAAGGTAACTGAGGTACTGATGCATGTGTCCCTGCTACCACCATTTCAGAAAGACACCCAACAGAATCATAGCTATTATGTTGATACTAACAATGTTAAGGGACAGGGCAACGGTCGTGCTGTCCACCAGTGGCAAAATCAGTATCATAACCATCATGCAAAATGATAATGACTATATGAAACCCACCAGCTGGTGTCATAGAGTTGCTAACAAACCCTAGCGGATTGCCACAAGGTATCTTGACAAGACAGAAGCTTTCATCAACAGGATGCAACACGTTCTCCACGTGCAGATCAGAGAGAGCTGTTTTCATAGAAAGATCTGTTCAAACCAAACTTCACTTTTTCTAGGTGGATGTGAAACGTTTCACTGTTATCCACACAATTTGCACTGCTAGCGAAGACTCCAGAACAGTTCTTCTGTGGGGTGACAGCAGCATCCAAACCTGGACTAACCAAAACTCTGCAGGTGCCACAGCACAGGAAGACAAACGCAGACCAACACAAGCAAAGCTTCAGATGGCACTGGTTTCTAACAAAACTCCATGGACTAAACGGATCAGCCAGATGCTCTGACCTACAGAGCCAGTTTGAGCATCCTGCTGGGCTGACCAGAGATTTACCTTCACAGTTGCTGCAAGGTGAAGAGAGCTTTGAGGCAGATGGTTCAAATTTTCCCTTCAACTGATACACATTCTTGTCAGGAACCTTTTACACGGCGATATTTTGTGGTTTAATGTAAAGATATTATTGTTACCTCGTGGCTATTTTAAGATTTCTATAATCATCATAGGAAAAACCTTCCTAAAAAGGCCTGGACAAATAGGACCCCACCATTCTCAACATCTTCGCTGGTGACTTTTTAAAAAGCATTTTCAAATAACCATGCCTCCCAGTTTACGAAGGTTTATGAGGTTATTTCAAAAAGAATACATAAATGACATTTATCCTCCGGGATGGAAATCTCAACTCTGTAATCAATTTTCACACTCGGAGCGCCCCTCAAATACCAATTACACGCACTTTGAGGACACGACTCCCAACAGCCACTCAGCACACCAGGGAAATACATCATGTTTTTGAAAGAGCCACGTGGGTATGCATAAAATATAGCTTTTATTTAAAAAAAAAGAGAGACCATCTACTCATTATATGCATTGTTCTTCAACACCATCCCAAAAACTTGCAGGGCTAATCCACAACAAAACTATACAAAAAAAACCCCTCAGAAGAGTGATGACCTCTGTCAGAGCATCCTACCCAGTGGAAAATTTTCCTGCCAGTCTTAAAGCTGCCTCCTTGCCTTGCTAAGCTGTCATCAGAAGGAAGCTTTTTGTGTGGAAAAAGAGAAAGGGAAAAACCAAGTACAACTTGTCAAAGCCTTCCCTTCCAGCTTCCTGTAAGGACTTCCTATCCCAGCCGCCACACTCAGCCCTCATGCATGGCCTTACGTGGGAAGTCATATCCAGCACATAAACCACCCTCACACCCCATCACAAGTAACTACTGAGACCAGGCTGAGCTCACAGACCACCAGTAAAGCACAAACACACCTAACTGCTGCAAAAGTAACCACTCCATCCCCGACTGCCAATCCTGATCCTCAAGGGAAACCTTTAAACTGTCCTCCTAGGTATAAAAATCCACAACATGTCAAGATAGCAAGACTCTGCTTCTCTGCCACACCATAACCCCCCACACTCCCTTCCCTCAGGCCATCACCTCTCTCTTTCTCTGCCTACATCCCATCCAGTCATTTAAACATGCCAGGAAACATTCCTTCTCTTCCCCCAAGAAGCATCACATCATTTCTGCTCTCCTACAAACGAGCATTCCCACACTGAACTTGCCAGCTCCACTTGGTTTCAAGGATGATCTGATAGAGGCTGACTCAAAACTCTGAGAGATTTTCTCAACTTGCATTCCATTCCGAAAGCAAGCTTTCAGGTCAGGCTCTCATGTCTGAAAGCTTTTATCCTTTTCAAACGACACCGTTTGGTCTAATGACAGACACTACCTCTGCATATGTCCTTAGACATCACGGCCACTATGTTTGTTACACAGTTTAAACAAAAATTAAGCCATATTTACATTCCAAGTCAATGTCTAGTCCTTATAAAATGATTCAAAACGTGATTTTGAATCCCTAAAGGTTTAAAGACACGTTGTCCTTCCCAAATCACTAGGGCTGTGGAAATTGGAGCGATATTTTATGAGGTCACTGTAAAATTCTGCTTTCCCAACTTCAAACTTTTTACAAGTCATCACTATCCTCAATCAAATGTTTGAAAACAGATCAGAAATGCTCATTGCCATTACAGAGTAAGATAAAGCTAGAAAGACACAAACTCCCCATTGCTTAGTATCTCAAAATCAGCTGTCCTAATCACCAGTCTTCCTTAAGAAATCAGCCAGCCCCAGTCTCTGGTGGGAGGAATTAGGACCATGTTCAGACTGGGGGAAAACAAACAGGGATCAAAACAACTTGACATTCAAATGTCTTCACTCTCCAAACTTCCTGCTCACCATTATAACAAACCCTAATCACCGCTGTTAATATTCCACGAGATGCAGAGTTTACATTTCAACACTCTTGTTCACCCTTTTCCCGTGGTTTCTGTAGCAACTACAGTCCAAATCTTGAAAATATCAAAAGGCAGCAGACACACAGCTCTGCTCACTCCTCAGCATTCACACGTGTGCACAGAGTCCCAAACTCACTCATCAAATTATTTACCTATTTAAGGTAGATTTAGAAAACATATGAACCATGTATGGGAGGTGAAAGCTCCAGGAACCAAACACTTCCTAGTTGAAAGCCCATAAATGTGTCTACATTAAACTTATCCTCGTTCTGGAAAACGACCTGCGCTCTTACCATCATGATTGGAATTTCCCAGGGTCCACGGCTCATCTGAATCAAAGTGAGTGTCTCCTCCTATGCCCGGTCCAGGAAAGTAAGCGTGAGCTAGGAATCCACCTTCTCCATCAAACGGAGAACTGTCTCCATGGAAACCAGAAGCAAAAAATATCATAATATCTGCCTCCTTTCTGTCATTTTTAATTTCATGGTAAGGGACCTCTTCAAAGGTAAGTGGTGTCACTCTCTGCCAGACGTCAAACGCCTGACGAATGGCTCTCCTCGTGTCGATCTCTCCAACCTTGGGGGTGTAGTTGTGTACGCTGCGTGAAGGAGAAAGAAGGGTCGTTTAAATTTGCAGAACTCATAATAATAATAATATAATAATATCATTCCAATACAGAGCCACATCCACACAGTTTCACAGAATCCCAGAATCGCTCGGTTGGAAAAACCCTCTGAGATCATCACGTCCAACCGCTCCTGTCTACCCCCTAAACCATATCCCTAAGTACCTCGTCTACCCGCTCTTTAAACACATCCAGGGATGGTGACTCCACCACCTCCCTGGGCAGCCTGTGCCAGCTTCTGACGACCCTCTCAGTAAAGAACTTCCTCCTTATCTCTAACCTGAGATTTCCATTTCCAAAGGGTCTTTGTTTTTTGCAGACACCACTGCATGCAAAGTTTTGCTGTTACAAACGAAGTTACCAACAAAACTACAGCCCTGATCTGAAGTCTACGCTTATTAATAAGAATCATCCCAATACTTTGGTTGATCTTGCATCACTTCCTAAAAACGTGACTGTCTTTCAAATCCTGGTGTGGACAGCTGAGTAACTTAGTTTAAAAATGTAAATTACTTCACGTTTTGTCTAAAATGAAATGCAGTGGATGAAAAAACCTGACGTCCAAAATTCTTTCTGAGAAACAAACCTTCCAGTAAACCTTACAACCTAACTCATACATGCAGCTTTATTCTCAGGACTACTCAAAATACTCAAGAGCTCATAAAAGTGATAGACCTGCCAGTTTTGTGCAACCCAGTCCATGACAGCTGATGATACGGAGTTTAGGGGCGAGGGGGAGTTTAACTGCACATAAATTTCCCATAACTGTAAACTTTAGCTTAAAAAGTGTTGTTCATGGGGTGTTTTTGTGTGCACGTGTAATAGACTCAAGACCTACTAAACTTGGCTTGGGGAATATGAAATATCTGTGCCATGGAAACAACTTTCGGTCTTTAATGAAACTGGCTTAATTTAATGTAATGATTGGCAGATGAAAGACACTAATACATTCAGTGGTAAAGCAAGATCTGGCACTTGAATGGCACACAGCAAATACTGAAATCAGAAAATTAAACAAATACCAGTTTGACAATGGCAGAAGCGAAGCCATCTGCCAACCTGCTTCCTGTGGCTGTGCATATGCTTAAGATATCTTTTACTTATACAACTATCTACCTCTTTTACCTAAGGTCCAGGAAAGGTTAGAAGCAGGAGCTGACTCTCAGATGTCCACATACAGAAGGTGTCCCTTTACAACTTGAGTTAAAGGAATGATTATTGGTGGACGCTTTGAACTAGTCTCTCCTCTCAGTCTCTGCAGTCCCTCACTGTCACTTGGGGAATTGCTTGCATTGAAAACAAGTCCAGAACATTTTTTCCCCCAAATAAAAAGGGGCAGGGAGGGGTCTATACCTGTAGGTTATGTGCTTCTGTCTCCACTTCTGTCCAGTTAGTGCATACCGCTTTTTCCTCCGGCTGTGGCGTAGGTGGGGATGGTCTGGAACTCCACATCGAGGTTTCTTCATCCACCTGGAAGGGAAGGAAAGAAAAAGCTACCACAGAGTTTGGAAAAGAGATCCGAAAGCACTCAGGGGGTGACTGGAAGACCTCAGAGGGATGGCCAACGCAGACACCAAGAAGGGTTCAGTCTTCCCTCTCTGGGGTTTACCCTCTTTGCACAGAGCTGCACACTCCGCTTCTGCTGGCAATCACCTCAGCACACCAAAAAGAATTCATGTTTCCTTTTGGAAACACAGATACCAGATCAGGTAGCCCTTATGCTTGACATGAGCTTAAAGATGATAATGCCACAAAAGAGACCCAGATCAAAATTGCATGTTTGGGTGCACTGGGATCAAACTCTCCTACCACCTCCTGCATCCACTCTCCATTTGTTAAAGTGCTCCTGTGTCAGTAAAAACAACTCCAATTTATGGCCCCCTAAAGCCTAAATGAATCTTTTGCTTATTCCTTGCACCAGCTTGAGGGTGGTCAAACACTGGCACAGGTCGTCCAGAGAACTGGCAGAGCCTCCATCCCTGGAGGTATTCAAAACCCAGCCAGACGTGCTCCTTGGCAAGCTGCTCCAGCTGCCCCTGTCTGAGCAGGAACATGGCCACTGGCACTCTGCAGACATTTGCTGCATTCCATCCAACTACTCGGATGGCAAAGACAGGGCATCGTGCCACAGCAGACACTTGAGAGCACACTGCAGGACACGGGATGCAGAAACATGCCCCTACCTGGTGACACGAGAAGAGCATCACAGCCAACCCTGGCAGATCTCTCACGCAGGACACCAAATTCTCTTCCTCCATCAACTGCAGCCAGCCAATGGCGCGTAGTCCATATGTGCCTGCATGCTTGAGCCTGAACAACGTACACCTTATCTATCAAAAATATTAGCCTGAAAATATTCAGGAAGGGAGAGTCTTCCCATCACCAGCAGATGGTTTAAAAGATTTCTTTCCGGGCCACCTTTTAAATAAAAACCACACACTTTGCCTTTACAGCCTCACAAGATCATCCTTTCACAGGAGATGTCTGCTCCCAGGACTTCCTCAGTCCATTTCCTAGATGTACAAAACTACAGGTGCTTACAAATTCCAGTGCCGTCACCTGTCCTCTTCCCCCCACCAAGACCAGAACAAATGACACACATTGCACTGTATCTAACAAGAGCCCAAGCTGAGCACGTAAAGCTGGCACAGATCTTCCCCACTGACATTACCTTCCATTTATCTTTCATACATCTTTCAGAAATCTAAGCAACCTGTGGAAATTGGAGCTGTCTTGCCCACACAACTGCTGCCACCTTCAAAGAAAAGTGGTACATCTAAGCTTTGCTTTTAGAAAAGCTGTATTAATTCAACCTCAATACGCTGTGTTTGTCAAAGTGTCCTTTATTTGTGCTCCTTTGCATTGCTTCTACACTTTGTTACAGAGATGTTAGGCCTACTGCAGCCTGGATTTTCCTAGATATTTCCTGAGTATTGTTTTCAATCCAGGATACTATACAATATCCTTAAAGCAGGATTCAGACACAGTTGCTCCCCTACCCTCTTTTTTTTTTTTAAATGGGTGTGCCAATAACACTGGATCATCAAAATTTATAGCTGGCGCTGTTTACGCATAACTATCGCATTCCTCCAGCTGCCTGGCACGCAGAAAACGGGTCATCTCCAAAAGCAGTGACACTCAGCTCCTGTCCAGATACAGCTGCTTGCCCCAGTTCAGGCTCCAAGCCTTCCACAAGACTCTCCGAAATTGAGGATGCTGTCGTTCTCTATCGCCTACTACTGAGCTACTGGGAGCGGTATCTCTAAACAGTTGTTGTGCATCCCAAGGCAAGGGACCTACACAATTCAAAGACAAAGCACAGGACATTCCCAACACAAGTAAGGTTATTTCATGGTTCCCTCCAGGGCCGTGCGATTGATTGTGACAATCACAACAGACCCACTTGTGTTAGGTGTTTGCTGCCTGGCACGCTCCCAGCACTACATCCTTGCCCAGCTGCTGAGCAAAATTACCACTTAACCCCCTGGCTGCAGGCAGGCACAACGTCTGCTGAGGCACTGCTGACTGCAGGGTACGAGGAGGCCGTTTTACATATTCTTCCCTTACAGAAAACTGCATATCCTCAACCTGCTCCTCAACTCAACAGACTGCACCCACCTCCCTTTCAGGTACCAGTAAGCAACACCAGTGGTGTCGTTCCTTCCCATTTCCCACTCCCGCCGGCAGCGCCTGCATGGTTGCTCTCACACACTTGGGTACCACTCTTGGAGGAAAGAACAAGCTCAGGATTTGGGGGTGTGTGGGGAAGCAGATGAAAAACTTAAGGCCTCCATAGTAAGTGTAAATGGAATATGTGGAATTTGTTACCTGACAAAGAAACCACGGTAAACAACAACTTTGCACCCTGACTGATTCTAAAGTCACTTTACGGGGACAGAGCTCATGACACTGACAGAAAAAATCATAACTGCAATCTCAAAACTCGTAACACAGACTGAAATAACAGCTTAGCAAATGCCTGAGGAATTCAGAGCCAGCCTTGCCAGCACTGCTTTTGCCCAGCTTCCACCACCAGGTCTGAGGAACCAGCAGCCCAGCAAGGCCCAGCCAGACATCTCCAACTCAAAATACAGCCTCACCACTCACAGCAACTAGGATCTCTTCTTTCTTTCATGTAATTTCTAGGTAGGTGCTCCAGCTCCACCCTGCCATATGACATATGGACCTACTGCTTCAGGACAGATGGAGGCAGAGCAACCAAACACGCCTCCAAAGCACACCCATCTCTGCTTGCAGCTGAGGTTTTGAGCCTTTGGAGACGCGAGTTTCAGAAGAGGGATGGGTTTTCACCCATCTGCCTTGGGTGTCCGTGCACCAACCACCCCCTGCCCATATATAAACTCAGTATAACGCAGACAATGCCTTCCTTTCCTCCAGAAGAATACTTCTCCTAAAGCAGGGACTTCCAGGTGTAGTTTGCTCCCTTCCTCTGTCACCCATAGGGCAGCGGAAGCAGCTCCCTAACTTTCCAAACAGGCACCCCAGTAGCATAACCCCTTCCCCCACCTCCTTCCAACTCATGAGCATCCCAAATGCAAGCTTCTACACACCAGCTGCACACACACAACCCTGCTCAACCCTCCTCTGCTTCAGCACTCACTCACAAGCTGTTTTATTAACCGCAAAAAGATCTCGGATGGAAAATCCTCACCTTTAAAAAGCATTTCGTTTTCAACTCATTTGAAAAGCAAACCAACAGGATTTTCTCAATCCCTCAAGGGAGAACAAGGGGCTTTTCCTGTGAGCTATAGGAAGGAATGGTACATTCACTGGAGAGGCACCCTCAGTCCAGGATGATCCCTCACCAGTTCCTTCTGTTTCTCCCTCCTCTTGTAGTCTGGAAGGCAGAGCACCAAACCCCTTTGATCTTCACACTACTTGGTTACTTTGTGCCCCCTTTTGTGCTACTTTGTCCCTTTTGCCAGCAGAATGCCGTAACAGCAGAGATGAACAAGCAGGCAGAGTACCCTCTAAAAGGGTCTGCCAATGCAATAAAGTCCAGGGAAAACTCTCAGGGAGAGTCAAAGCAAGTTCGATCATTTGTGCTTTCTGGTTTTGCTCACCATGAAGTGCTTCTGCCCCCCATAAAGCACAACTTTGACCTTATCTGCATTCTGCTTTAGTCAGCAGATGCCCCCCTAGTCCAGAGCAACAGCAGACAGATGCCAACCACATCCTGGGCTGCATCACAGGAATTGTGGCCAGCACACGGAGGCAGGTGATTCTGCCCCTCTGCTCTGCTTTAGTGAGACCTCATCTGGAGTACTGCGTCCAGCTTTGGAGTCCCCAACATAAAAAGGGCATTGAAGTGCTGGAGCGGGGCCAGAGGAGGCCACAAAGACGATCCAAGGGCTGGAGCAGCTCTGCTATGAAGACAGCTGAGAGAGTTGGGGTTGTTCAGCCTGGAGAAGGCTCCAGGAGGACCTTAGTACCTGAAAGGTGCCTATAAGAAAGCTGGGGAAGAGCTGTTCACCGAGGCATGGAGCAATAGTACAATGGGTAATGGTTTTAAACTTGAAAAGGGGAGATTTAGGTTGGATATGAGGAAAAAGCTCTTCACCATGAGGTGGTAGATCCGTGACACAGGTTGCCCAGAGGTGGTGCAGGCCTCATCCTTGGAGATATTCAAGGCCAGGCTTGATGGGGCTCTGAGCAACCTGATCTGGTACCAATGTCTCTGCTCACTGCAGGGGTTGGACCATATGATCTTTAAAGGTCCCTTCCAACCCAGAACATCCTATGGTTCTATGATTCAGCCAACACACGACGCCCAAGCAATCAGACAACAGAACCAGTCAGGCAGCAGCAACAAACACCACTGCCACACCACACTTCCCAGTGCACAGCAAAGAGCAGAATAAAGGCAACAGCCCTCAAAGAACAAAGTCCTTCCAGCCCAGGTGATTCAGACCAATGCTTCTGTGCTATCATAACACTTATCATAACATATCACAAACAACAAACAACACACGGTCAACATACAGCAGAGGACATCTAAACTCAACAAATGGCAACTATCAACAGCTACCTAGTCCTGACTATGGTCATCAGACTACAACAACTCACTTCAAGTCAGAACTACAGATCTCAACAAATAGTATCTACTGAAAGCCACAACTCCCATTATTAAGAAATTCATTAGAAGCCATTTCTGGGGCCAGATTTTCACCTAAATCCAGATAAACATTGAAATAAATGAAACCTTTGATGTTCTCCCCTTTCAGAAGCTCACAGGATCCACGCTTTGCCTGCATACCAGCAATGGGGGTCTACGTACAAAGAATATTTAGCAAGAGCTTCACCTCACACTTGCAAACAGCACTGCTGGCAAAAAGAAACGGTGGAGTTGTCCATGTCTTTTTGTTAGCGACATCTTTTCATTATCAAGACCGAGTCAGTCAAATCTGTCCCTTTCTAAGGACTTCTTGTAGCTGGAATAATTGCCCAGATAATATGACAACGTGTGAAGAAAGAGAAAGACAAAATTAGTTTATGTTAATCTTACTCAAGAGTTGTCTGGTCCAAAACTCCTGTTACTGGGATCCCATAAAACTGCTGCATAGTGGCAACTGCGGACTGCACAGCTTTTCCTGACTGCAAGGCAGACATTTGGCTGTCAGATGGAAGTAAATAGCCATAAGTTTTTAACCAAACCTGAAAAAGAAAGAAACAGATGGTAAGATGCCACGGTTAAGTCTTCAGCTTAACAGATCAGAAGATTTCTTCAAAAGAAAAAGTGATGAATTAGCCCCAGAAATTCAATCTCCTCTCTTTTTTTTTTGGTTAGGTTTGGTCATATCTGAGCCCTGGGAGTATTTCTTTTAAAAAAACAAACAAATAAAACCCCAAACCCCCACCACACTCAGAAAGTTTGCAGGGACTCTGGTTGGATGGACTTTTCCTCTCCTAACAGCAGCTCTTTAGCAAATTGTCAGAACAGGAAAAGAGCCAACTCTCCTCAAGGAGCTTTGTCCTAATTCCCCGCCTCCCTCCCAAAAATGCAGCCTTACATAAAACCACATGTCAAACTTGTCAAAATGCTAAGGACAGCATTTTCAAACACACCCGTTAATTCAGGATTTTATTTTTCCTCCCTTCTCTTCCCCCCCTCCTCGCTTCGATACCACAAGAAAAAGGAGCATTAATTCACCAGCAAGTGCAAATACCAATAAAACCTGAACGAAGATTTGCTTCCATAAACTTTTCACCATAACACTTCACGCACATACCCTGGTGTTTCTTTCTTCTGGCCAATACCCCAGCCCTTCAATTCAATACTCAGACCAGGATTACCATGAGATTGACATATACCCTGTAAGATTTTCCCAGCCATGGGGACAACCCATCCCCTTGATAGAACAAGGGGAAACGGCACCAAGCTGTGCCAAGGGAGGTTCAGGTTAGAGATAAGGAGGAAGTTCTTTACTGAGAGGGTCGTCAGAAGCTGGAACAGGCTGCCCAGGGAGGTGGTGGAGTCACCATCCCTGGATGTGTTTAAAGAGCGGGTAGATGAGGTACTTAGGGATATGGTTTAGGGGGTAGACAGGAACGGTTGGACGTGATGATCTCAGAGGGCTTTTCCAATCAAGTGATTCTGTGATTCTGTGATCCCGTAGGACACGGTCCTCAACACACAAGCGCCAATCGATCACCTACACACGCTGCCCGGGCACTGACAGCCAGGTGTGTCTGGTCCCATCCTCCTGACCCTGCCCTTTAGATATTTATAAACATCAATGAGATCCCCCCTCAGTCTCCTCTTATCCAGGCTGAACAGACCCAGCTCTGTCAGCCCTTCCTCATATGGGAGACGCTCCAGTCCCCTCATCATCCCTGTGGCTCTACACTGGACTCTCACCAGTAATTCCTTGTCCTTCTTGAACTGGGGAGCCCAGAACTGGACACAGTATTGCAGTTGTGGCCTCAGCAGGGCAGAGCAGAGTGGAAGGAGAACCTCCCTTGACCAAATGGCCATGCCACACTTTTCTTAATGCAGCCCAGGATGCCATTGGGCTTCTTAAGATACCAGAATCCATTGGGAAGTGAGAAGGGATTTGTTTCCAAAGCAGGAGAAAGGTTTTAGACAGCATCTGGGCTGGGCATGACAAAGATCACCAAGTGAACAGACTGACAGCGTTATTCAACATGGACATCACCAATGGCTCAAGACTAAGCCAAGCTGCAAAAGTGCTCGGAGACTGGACATTTGCTACCACCGTCCTGGCATCTAACGCTGGCCTCTGCCAAACACAACGTGCTGGAACACAAGGACCTTCAGTCTGACCAGAACGAGCTGTCCTTGAGCAGCAAGGGCAGAGCACATCAACCAAAACAGCTGAGAGAGAGGGGC